TTCCACACATAGGTGACCTAGGTGATCTTTAAGGGGCCCTATTCTCTCCCTCGTTACCCTTTTCTTCTTAATGTATTTGTAGAATCCCTTTGGATTCTCCTTAACTTAATTTGCCAAAGTTATCTCATGTCCCCCTTCTGCTCTCCTGATTTCCCCCTTAAGTATCTCCTATTGCCTTTATACTCTTCTTGGGATTCACCTGCTCTCTACTGTCTATACTTGACGTATACTTCCTTCTTTTTCTTAACCAGAACATCAATTTCTCTAGTCGTCCAGCATTCCCATACCTACTAGCCTTGCCTTTCACCCTAAGAGGAACATGTTGTTTCTGGACTCTTATTATGTCATTTTTGAAGGCTTCCCACTTTCCAGCTGTCCCTTCACCAGCAAATATCTGACCCCAGTTAACTTTTGAAAGTTTTTGCCTGATACCATCAAAATTAGCCTCCTCCAATTTAGAACTTTAACTTTTAGATCCGGTCTATCCTTTTCCATCACTATTTTGAAACTAATAGAATTAGGATCACTGGCCGCAAAGTGCTCCCCCACTGACACCTAAGTCACCTGCCCTGCCTTTATTTCCCAAGAGTAGGTCACGTTTTGCACCTTCTGTAGTAGGTACATTCACATGCTGAATCAGAAAATTTTCTTGTACACATTTAACTAGTTCCTCTCCATCTAAGCCCTTAACACTATTGCAGTCCCAGTCTACGTTTGGAAAGTTAAAAATCCAGTAACATTACCACCCTATGATTCTTACAGATAACTGAAATCTCCTTACAAAACATGCTTCTCAAATTCCTGCTGACTACTGGGGAGTCCGTAGTATAATCCCAATAAGGTGATCATCCCTTTCTTATTTCTCAGTTCCACCCAAATAACTTCACTGCATGTACTGCCTGGAATATCCTCCCTAAGTACAGCCATAATGTTATCCCTAATCAAAAACGCCATTTTCTATCCTTTTCTATCCTTCCTATAGCATCTATACCCTGGAACATTAAACTACCAGTCCTGTCCAAATCTCTAGCATTCCCAGAATTTTTTTCCTATTTTTGCACACAGCCAACAGTATTTAATTGACAGCTTTATTCTGGACGTACATAAACAAAAGTAATAACTGGGATGGCTTATGCATCCCTAACTCTCAAGCATTGTAATCAAGTGCCAGCTTCTTGGAGAAACATTTTCTTTAAGTTTGTGTAACTTCTGATTTCACTTTTCAATTTTATTTCCCGTATTGAAGTGGGCTGACTCATACCGAGGTACAGTTTAATGACCATCTGAATGAAAACAGGACTTGGAGGGTTAACTATGAATACAGATTGAATACATTTGGCTTTCATTCCTTTGAGAGTGGAAGAATGGGTGATCTGATCAAGGTGTTTGAAATATTAGAAATATTTCGATAGAGTGAATACAGAGAAACAATTTCTGCTGGTAATGAAATCAAGAACTAGGTGGGGGCAAATACTTAAATGTAGAGCTAGGAGATTTAGGAAGGAAATGAAGAAAAATGTTCCATAAAGCTTTAAGGAAGTTTAGAATGTGTTCCTCCAATAGCTGATAGATGCTGGGGAATTGAAATCTTCGAGGCTGAGATTGAAAGGTAGAGGTATTGAAGGTGAGTAAATGGAGTTGGGCTATAGATGTGCAATGCCCTAATCAAATGAGGTAGTAGATTTGAAGGGTTGAATGGACTATTTCTATTCTTAATATGCTGTTGCTTATTTTGTGCCCAAGTTCAGTTCCTCCTTTAATCTGTTGAAGTTTTCTTACATACCGGCCTCTCTCCAGATTAATGCCCTCTTGAAAGACCCTGAGTGGGAATCAACTCATAAAGTGGAAGAATATAATTTTTAAAACTCATCCATAGGATGTGGGCATCACTGTTTAGGCCAGTATTTATTTCCAAGGTATAATTCCACAGACTACAGTTTAAGCTAAGTGATTCATATTTATATGCAAACCTAAATTGGGAGTAAGTCTTAACAGGAAGAGACTTTTTGTCTTGAACACAATATAGTTCTTGCACAGTCTCAAAAGTCTTGTAACTATCTTTTTCTGTTAGTTTCTATAAGTGGTAACTTGTAAATTGTTCCATTGTTGCCCGGATTCTGTATTGCAATGGCTCTGGTGCTACAACTTTGGTGTAAAATACTTCCATGGCTCTCGATTCCTCTACTGTAGCTGTGTCTCATGGTTTCTGTGAGTTATAGTGGCAATGCTCATGGTAAGCTGTAAGTATTTTTTTACTTTTAGCCTTCTCAGCTTGTACTTTGTGTTGTTAATTCAAAGTTTTACTCTTTAGTCAGTAGGGATTTTACTTTACCCATGGAGCGCTGATATATTTACTTCCTAGCTGAATGTCTAACTGGGCATGTTCCTAAAGATTCTTGCATCTGTACCTGTCAGGTGTGACTCAGCTTTAAGTTCTTTCTAGCCCACACTGTTTCTTATGCATTCTTATCAGGTCTGGAGTAAAGACTTTAACCTAGATTGCTGTTTCTCTCTTGTTGTTCTTTCCACAGTGCTTGTTTATTTAAGTACCTGCAGCTATGGGCTGTCTGTATAAATGGTTCTTCAAGTGGTGAAGTTTTTAATGCCATAATCTCACTTTGATCTTCTAAACACCTCTTACTCTGTGTCCAATGGAATTTTTCAAGTCGTATTAAGCAACGATGACCACTGCTGATCACCATGGGGTATTCCTGAGTAGAAGGATGCTGTCACCAATTGTCTTTCCTTGACTGGATCTAAAGGTCCATTCGGTTTAAGTGATAGAGGAACAGCTACTTTTTGTCTTGAGCAATATTTAGTTTATTGAATGATAGCAATCAGATACAAGTTACATTTGTGAGATAAATGTTATAACCAAGACTATGAGGACATCTATGAGGTCTTTACTCCATGAGGTCCTCCAAAGATGTTCTGCACCCATCCAAGCTATGACTTCATTAGATTGGTGGGGCTTAATGCAGTATCCAACATTAACCCTTACAAAACCATTACTTTATACAAGATAAACTGCTATGATTATGAACACATTTATCAAATTTTGTATCAATCTTTTCTATCCATGGAAAACAACAGCCACATTTCTAATCTAGCTTCATAACCAAAATCCCTCATTCCTGGAACTATCCGCATCATTCTTTTCCACACCCCTGTTAAAATCTTTACATATTTTCAAAAATGCCCAGAATTGACACAATACTGCAGTCAAGGCCAAACCAGTTTCTTATTATGGTTTGTAAATAGCTTCCTTGCTCTTGTATTCTATGCCACCTGCTATTTACAAAGCCAGGATTTCATATCTCTTACAAACTTTCTCAACCTGCTGAGATCCTGATTTGTACACATGTACCCAGAGGTCCTTTTGTTCCAGCACCCCTTTCAGTTTCCTTTCCCACCAGGTCGATTGAGGAGCTCAGAACTGGTGAGGGAACCTTCTTCCATTTCCTCTTCATTCAGTGCCTTTGCTTTGTGGACTACTTAGAGCAAGAAAAGGAAGTCTTGTATTGTTACAGTACTTTTATGACTTCAGGATATCACAAGTCACTTCAGAGTTGATCAAGTACTTTATGAAGTGTAGTTACCATTGTAGGAAACTCAGCTCCCAATTTTTGTACAGCAATGTATAATAAACGGCAATGTGATAATGATGAGAAAATCTGTCTCTGTGATATTGGTTGAAGCTCAGATTCCGAAGATTAATTCGCTGCTTACCATTAAGATTGGAGCTTATTATGGGGACGACAGGTAAGGCCTTGATTTAATGTCCCATTTGAATCGCTTATGCTCCCTCAGTAAATAAAGGCCAGATGTATTCATTTGTACTGGTTACAGTTCTTTGGTAAATTATTTAACAAACTATCCCTCCCTAATTGACTTTTACATACAGTTTCAAATTTTTTCATCCTGCATCCTATCTGGATATTCATGAAATGAATATAAATTGTTGCGTTATGAGGGATTTAAACACATTCAGCATACTTTGTTGAGACAATGACTTGCAGCCCTAGAATCCTCTGAGATATTTGCATTCTTCCAATTCTGACTGATTGTGCATCCCTGATTTTTAATGCTGCAGCATTAGTGGCTGTACCTTCAGTTGTCAAGACCCTATGTTCTCAAACACCCTCCCTAATTCATTCAATTTCTCAACACCTTTCTCCTCCTTTCAGATGCTCTTTAAAACCTACCAGTTACACTAAACCTTTGGTCACAAATCTTAATATCTCCTTATGTGGCTCAGCATTAATTTTTCTTCTGTTACTGGGCACCTCGTAACAATGTCAGGAACTGTATAAATAGGAACAAAAATAGAAATTGCTGGGAAAGCTCAGGAGGTCTGGCAGCATCTGTGGAGAGAGCAAGAACTGCAGATGCTGGAGTCAGAGTCAATACAGTGTGGAGCTGGAGGAACACAGCAGGTCAGGCAGCATCAGAAGAGCAGGAAAGTCGACGTTTCGGGTTTACGCGTTTCGGGTCAAGTGACCGTTCCTCAGATATAGGAGTATTCCCTGAAAGGAGGAGGCAAGGGTTAATAATCTGATAAGACCAGGGTAATGCTGTAGGAACATGGCTTCATACCCCACCATGGCAGTGAGCACACTTGAAGTTCAACGAATGAAACTGGAACTGAAATCTGGATTCCCTGATGGTGATCATAAAACTATCAACAATTTTCATAAAATCCCATCTGCTACACTAATTTCCTTCAGGGAAGGAAATCTGCTGACTTTACCCAGTCTGACCTATATGTGATTCCAAACTTACAGTAATATGGCTGACTTTTAACTGCCCTTTGAAATGACCTCCCAAGTCTCTTTGTTCATGGATGGTAGGGGATGGGCAAGAAATGCTGGCTCAAGTCTCATGAAAAAATAAATAAAATGAGAATCCAGCATTTTCTTGGGGATGGTGTGATTTGTCACCACAGTTGCAGAATGTTGTTTGTCTTCCTGCTTAATACCACTTATTTTCCTTCGTTACAGTCCACATGCAGAGTAAGCAGGAACACACTCAGTGGATACTTTCTTGCAGGCAGGAATATGGCGTGGTGGCCTGTAAGTATTGACACCTCCATTTTCTTTTAAAATGTTAAGACAGAGAATGAAAATACAGATAATTTAACAAGCTGCTCACTTAAAGGACTATGTGGAAACCCTGGTAACTCTGACAGTAGAGTATTAGCGTCATTAGCTAAAGAACATCAACTTAACATTCTCTTGACTTTTAACACTTGGTGGTTTGCTAATTAGTTGTGTCAATTGATTATGTATATGTGCACGCTCTAGTTGTGATTAAGTCCTACTGATACGAACTGAGGAAAGAATAGCACACATATTAATGAGAACCAATAAGGGCTGGTGCAGTGGTAGTGCCAGAATGTGCACTTCAGGTTTCACCTGTCCTGGAGGTGGGTCATTACATATCTGAACAGGGTGATAAAGTTTTTTTTTAATATAAGAGCTAGAAGGCTCTTATGGCGCAGTTGTAGTATTTTTAAATCTGGACCAGAAGTTCTGGTTTGAAATCCTGCATCAGGATGTGATGGCTGTGGAGATGAGTCATAATATGTCCAAACAGATTAATTCAAAGATTTTTTAAGAACCAGTTGGGATGAGCTGCTCATGAAATGGAAAAGTAGTCCACACTTCTGCAATGTGAGTATTATGAATAAATGCACCTTGAAGACAGGCCAACTCCTGAATTTTCCTTTGCCAGATGCATGTTTACCGGATTAACACATCTTGTGATGAAGATTGAATTGCACAACGTAAACTTAAGATCCACACAACCAACAGGCTATAATTATTAACAGGGCACATAGTTTGAGAGGTGACTGAAACTATATACTCAGCCCTTTTGTCTATCTGACCTAAATGGGAACCTACTCCACCCAATTAATTTTCATAATTCATTATTTCTATGAGTCTAAAGTCTGCTTTTGAGACAAACGTTTACAGAATGCCCTTTGAGGCAGAGGACTGGAAAATTGCAGATGTTATATACTTGTTTAAGCAAGGGTGCAAGGATAAACTGAGTAACTACAGACTAATCATTTAAACCTCGTTGAAAGGAAAGCTTTTGAAAACTATAGTTTGGGACTTAGTTAACCGTCATTTAGAGAAATTATGGCGTAATTAGAAAAAGACAGCTTGGATTTGTTAAGGGCAAATTGTGTTCAATTAACTTGCCTGAGTTTTTTGATGAGCTAAGCATTGATGTGGATAATGCAACTGATGTGGTGTAGAAGGGCTTAAAAAAGTTGTTGGATACAGTGTCACAAGATTGTCAGCAAAGCTAGAGTGGATAGTATAAAAGGGACAACAGCAGATTGGATACAAAATTGATTAAGGGTTGGCTCAGTGGTTAGCATTGCTGCCTCACAGTGCCAGAGTCCTAGGTTTGATTCCACCCTCAGGCAGCTGACTGTGTGGAGTTTGCACATTCTCCCCGTGTCTGCGCGGGTTTCCTCCAGGTGCTCAGGTTTCCTGCCACAGTCCAAAGATGTGCAGGTTAGGTGAATGGGCCTGCTAATTTGCCCATAGTGTCCAGGGATATGCAGGCTAGCTGGATTAGCCATGGGAAATGCAAGGCTATAGAGAGAGGGGGATGGGTCTGATTGGGATACCCATTGGAGGGTCAGTGTGGACACAATGGGCTGAATGGCCTGCTTTCATGCTGACAGGATTCTATGAAGTGACAGTACACGGAGATCAATGGGAGAAGTTTGTTTTTCAAACTGGCAGACTATAAGTATATTTGCCATAGTCACAGAGTAGGGTTCCTAGAGGAGAATGATAGGACTCCTGCTTTACTGGATGGGGTCTTGAACCTTCAACTGTCTGCTTCAGGGATGAGCGTGTTACACATTGAGACATTACATCAGTGTATAATGTCATGCAAATGAGAGTGATCCCATCCCATTGTCTGCCCCTCAATTTCAACTGCGAGAACACTCTAGTTCTCTGGTATTTTCCTGTGGACATTCATCCAATAAGATGATTAAGACCACCTCTTTTGGTGATGGTTATGTAGCACAAGGAGACTGTGGGAGGAATGAAAGTAAGGTTCAACAGTGTACAACATTCATTGTAAGCCAATAACAAATTGTTGAGAAGCATCAACTTTACACGCAGCAGGGACTTTTCTGTGTTAAAGTTGGTGAAGTATGTTCCAAGTTGGTATAAACTACATTAGTTTGTAATTTTAATATGGATCATCCTTTTACTGTCAACATAATTTTTATTTTGAAATAAATACTCTTGGCCAGTTATCTTTTTACTGTAATGATCTTTTTAATGCGAACAAACTTGGGAACTGATTCTCATCAGTCTAAGTGCTAAACATGGCTTTGACTTTGGCATTCACTAATCATTTTACAAAAGGCCAAAGTTGACTTTATCTTTCTCCTCTCATCTTCTTATAGATTGGGGCATCGCTATTTGCCAGCAGTGAAGGCTCTGGACTGTTCATTGGCCTGGCTGGCACTGGGGCAGCTGGAGGAATTGCTGTTGCTGGATTTGAGTGGAATGTAAGATTAACGTTGAACTTGCAAAATGTACACTAGGCATCACTTTGAATGAATGGTGGGGCAAAATACGTTTCAAAATGCAGTTTTTCCAATATCTCTCACTAATATTTTCTGTTGTGTAAATAATTATGTTTTAACTGTTCGGCTTGCTAAACAGTTGGTGGGTGCCAAGCAATGAATACACTTTTATCCTCCTTACAAACTGTATCATGAACATCAATGATCGTCAGTTGATTATGGCTTGGGTTAAATGCAGAGTAATGCTTCCTACCTTTGTCCCCAGTCTCTGAAGGATGCTAATCATCACAGCAGCTGTTCTTGTAAACTCTGAATTAAGATCTTCAATTGTCAACTTGCTTGGGGCTGTTGATTTGTGCCAACCAGGAACTGGTTGGATACTGGTTCAAATTATTGTGCTCTTTTTGTTTATGGAAGAAGAAAGACAGAAGTCTTTTAAGAAGATAAGGAATCAGATTAGGAATAGATCAAAGCCTGCCCACCATCTACAAGGCACAAGTCAGCAGTGTGATGGAATACCTCCCACTTACCTGGTTGGGTACAGCTCCAACAACACTCAAGAAGCTTGATACCATTCAAGACAAAGCAGCACGCTTGATTGGTACTACATCTACAAGCAGCCAGTCCTTCCAGTATTGTACTTAGTTGTAGCAGTGTGTACAATCTACAAGATGCACTGCAGAAATTTGCCAAAAATCCTCAGACAGCACTTTCCAAAACCATTAGTACTTCCATATAAGAAGGACAAGGGCTGCAGATACATGGGAACACCACCACATTCAACTTCTCCTCCAAGTCACTCACCATCCTGACTTGAAAATATCCCCATTCGTTCACTGTCACTAAGTGGGGTCAAAATCCTGGAATTCCCTCCCTAATGGCATTGTGGGTCAACCCACAGCAGGTGAACTGCAGGGGTTCAAGAAGGCAGCTCCCCATCACCTTTTCAAGGGCAACTAGGGATGGGCATTAAATGCTGGTCAGCCAGCGACACCCACATCCCACAAATGAATAAAAAAATCATGTGGCACCTCAAGGCTACACAGCCATTTGTGATGAAGACTCGTGATCTACTATTATTTGGAAATTTGGGTTCTGAAGTGGACAGTACCATGTATGGCTTTAACTTGATTTATCTTTCTATATTGTGTGTGTTAAGAAGGGAAGGGCATATTGTAGTTTCATTTTTAAGATTTGTGATTGGTAGCTAAGTGTCCAAAGTTTTGTTTACATTCATCTAAATGACATTTTTAAAACCCTAGGGGTGATTAGTCCAGCACCTTAGTAATAAGAATAGAAGAGAAGAAAGATAAAGGATAGTTGTATGGCAATAAAGTGTCCTATGACACAGGGAGACAGAGACAAAAAACAATTTTTTTTTTAGAAAAACAGAACCATCCAGAAAGCCAAGGAGTGAGATGGCTTTTTCATGGCAGCCTGCAAGTTAACTTTAGAGAAAAAGTCCAGTATTAGCAACAGTGCAGTTTAGCAGTCCGCAGAAGTGTCATGGAAGAAATATTAGGAAGGTAAGATCTTCAGAAATAGAAGAGGAGTTTAATGAATCATTATAGGAAATATATAAGCTGTATTTAGCAGATTGTTTCAGCATCTCAGAAAGATACATTGATTTTAAAAATTGCCAGTACTGCCAGAAAGGTACCATGCATGGCTGTACCAATTGAACAGGGAACTTTAAGGTAGAAACAGGGTGACACTTCGTTGAGGTATGAGCATGTGTAAAGTTGCTGTTGTGGGTAAAAGGATTATATCTTTATTTTTGATATGTGTTTTAAAACTGTTTCAATTAGTTCTTGTGCAATGCAATAGTTTGTGTTTTTTTTCTTATGTGTGGAATAAACTTTGATTCTCTTTTGTTAGAAGAATATTGGCAGCCTCTTATGAATATTTTCAATAAATTAACCACTACAATAACCAAACTGAAATAATGAAATTTACGATCTATCAAGTCAGGTTTGACTTGTCAAAGCATTACCATCAGCTGGGATCATAACACATTCAATACAATCATAAATTTGAGGTGATGCATTTTGGAAAGGCAAATCAGGGCAGGACTTATACACTTAATGGTAAGGTCAAAGGGAGTGTTGCTGAACAAAGAGTTCAGGTTCAAGGTTCCTTGAAAGTGGAGTCACAGGTAGATAGGATAGTGAGGAAGGCGTTTGGTATGCTTGCCTTTATTGGTCAGTGCATTGAGTATAGGAGTTGGGAGGTCATGTTGCAGCTGTACAGGACATTGGTTAGGCCACTATTGGAGTATTGCGTGCAATTCTGGTCTCCCTCCTGTAGTAAGGATGTTGTGAAACTAGAGAGGGTTCAGAAAAGATTTACGAGGATGTTGTCAGGTTGGAGGGTTTGAGCTATAGGGAGAGGCTGAATAGGTTATTTTCCCTGGAGTGTTGGAGGCTGAGAGGTGACCTTCTCGAGGTTTATAAAATCATCAGGGGCATAGATAGGGTGAATAGGCAAGGTCTTTTCCCTGAGGTTGGTGAGTCCACAACTAGGCAGCATAGGTTTAAGGTGAGAGAGGAAAGATATTAAAGGGACCTGTGGGGCAACTTTTTCACGCAGAGGGTGGTGCGTGTATGGAATGAGCTGCCAGAGGAAGTGGTGGAAGCTGGTATGACAGCAACATTTAAAAGGCATCTGGATGGGTATGTGAATAGGAAGGGTTTAGAGGGATATAGACCAAATGCCGGCAAATGGGACTAGATTTATATAGGATATCCAATGAGTTGGACCAAAGGGTCAATGTCCGTGCTGTATATCTCTATGACTCTGTAACTCTATAACTGCTTTTTGGTCTCAAATTCACTTTTCTGCCTGATCCCATTATCACTTGATTCCCTTTGAGTCCAAAAACCATTCAGTCTCAGCCTTGAATATATACTCAATGACTGAGCATCCATGGTCCTCCGAGGAGAAGATGTGGAAGGTGGTAATTCTCTGTATTTTATTTTATTTCATTACGTATTTGGTCTGATGTCAACTCATGACCAGAAACGAGTGAACGAAGAGAATGCCACCAAAGAATTACTTCGTTTATGTTAATGCTAGGTTATAACTCGGCCCAATCACAAAAACATGCACAACTGGTTTGTTGATAATGAGCATGCAGAGATAGTAAGCAGTTTCTGCTTTTGTAGATTATGATCCTTGAGAAATATGGAGTAGGTTTCCTCACCAGACTGGATGTAGTAAGATTGTACAAACGTTTAAAAGGATCATTTATGATTTTGCTGCATTTAAAACATGTTTTATATTCATTGAGTCAAGGCTTACAATTGTGCCAACTTGATTACAATAGCTCGGTGATTATACTTTAGGGTCCTAACAATCCAGCATCAAATGATAAGAAGTGATCAACTAGATTTATCATGAATATAAATCCTTTTTGCTGAGAGGCTAATTGTCCCTGACTGGGGAGTCTAGGCCTGGGGATCATTAGTCTCAGAATATGGAGTGGTCGTTTTAGACTGAGTCGAGGAGAAATTCCTTCACTTAGAGGACTATGAATCTTGTGAATTCTCTAGCTCAACGGGCCACTGATGTTCAGTTTTTGAGTGTATTCAAGACTGGGATCAATTAAATTTTTGATACGAAGGATATGCAGATGGGATGGGTAAATAATCTGAAGCAGATTTAGCTGAGGAGGGGGAGGCACTTAGTCCTGGGTTGTTAAATGATGCTCAATGTCAACAGTATGGGTTTAATGCCCATAGTTTTTCGGAGTTGCCTTCCCCTTTTGATACCATGCAGCCATGACTAACAACCCTCAGAAAATAAAGATAGAGAGAGAGAGATCAGCCATGGTGGAACATCTTCCTATTGCTTATGCAAATTCGTAGCTACATTCTATACGTTCTTCAGCAAACTCACATCAGCGTTTGTTTATCAAGATCTTCCTCGTTCCCAAGCTTCATTTGAAGTTATTGTTCCAACCGCATTCAAATTCTTTCCAGAACTCCTTAATCTCCCAGTGAACTAAACATTACTTGCTTCCCTTCCTAAAAAAAATTCCTCAAATAGGATTTCTTTAACTTAGACTCAGTAACTTCACTGAAGATTACCACTGTGAATGAATTGCTTGATATAAGTTGTCTCCATCTATTTGGCTGGTAAGCTGCACTAATTAGAATTGTAAATTTAGATATCAATCCTGATCAAAGTTTTAAGCAATTGCAATAATTGTCTCTTAGAATCTGACGTGTCACACCCTAAGGTGATATGACATCTCTGCTACTTCCCAGTGTTACACCCATGCATCACTTGATAAATCTTGAACCTTATTATTAAAAGAAATAATTTTTGGCGTATTACCATATCAACTTAACCAGCATCTAGGCATAAATAAAGCCCCACCTTGTTCTCAGAGTATATAATACTTCTCCAAACAATGTACATGCTGTGTGACCAGGAACTTATTTCCAAATTTTCAGGGGAATGTTGTTAAAAAAAAAGGCATTTTTCCAAAGTTTTTTGTCTTGCACTCATCAGGACAAATGCATAACCATCAAATTTCAAACTGTCACAGCAATGTATTTTACAGGAGAAAATGGTGCTGATTGGTTTGCAAGTTGATGCTGATTGGATGAGGTGTTGCCACGACGAAAGCAGTGGAAGTACCGTCGGCTTCTCAAGCTCCTGGGTATTAACATGCTTCTCCTTTCAACAATATTCAAATTCAGGACACTCAGACAAAAGCAAAATGCTGCAGGTTCTAGAGATCTGAAACAAAAAAAAAGCAGAAAGTGCTGGAGAAGCTGTGCAGGTCTGACAGCATCAGAGGAGAGAGAAACAGAGTAAATATTTACAGTCCAAGAAGATATCAGTAACTAGGAGTTACACTTTCAAGATTGTCAGCAAGAGAGCTAGGAAAGAGATGAGAAGAAACTTCTTTACTCAGAGAGTTGTTAGGATTTGGCATGTACTGCCTGGGATAATGGTGGAGGAAGATTCCATATGAGGTTTCAAAAGAGAGCTAGATATATATTTGAAAGTAATGAAGTTAGAGTGCTATGGAGATAGGGCTGAGGAATAGGACCAACTGAGTAGCTCTTTACGGAGACAGTACAGACACAAGGGGTTGAATGGCCTCCTTCTGTACTGTGAAATTCTATGACCCTAAGATTCATATAGAACTCCAAACATTTCTCTCTCTGTCTGCAGATGCTGCCAGACCTGCTGAGTTTTTCTAGTACTTTCAGTTTTTATTTCAAATTTGGGCATTGGCTGATAGTAGAAATTGGGATCTGCCAATGACCATCATCATTTTCCATTGCATTTGAAAAGGAAAATTGGGGGTGCAGAAGAAATCTACATTTATAAAGCACTTTTCATAGCAACTGGATGTCACAAAGCATTTTACAGGCAGTAGAATACTTTTGAAGAGTAGTCTTTGTTGTAGAAAACATGGTAGCACTCATCCATCTCCCACAAACAGCAATGTGATAACAACTAGATAGTCTCATTATGTGATACCAAGAGAGTAAAACATATTAACCAGAACACATGAGAGAACACCCTTGCTATTCTCTGAAGTAATATTGTGTAATCTTTAATGCCATGGGATCTGAGATGGTGGGCAGGACTTCAGTTTTAATTTCTTCTCAAAAAGACAATACCTCCAACAGTGCAGCATTTCCTCAGTACTGCACTGAAGTGTTAGTCTTGATCTTGATGCTCAATCCAGGGCTAGAATTTCTTCATCACGATGGAGGACTAGACAACTTGCCTAAAACCAGGCAGAAATCCTGCCTTGGCCATTTGTAGGACTCCAGACTGCATGAATCGGCTCTCCCAAAACTAATGAATGAATTATTTTTCACTGGGCCTTCTATCCCTTTTAAAGAATGGATGCCTGTCACCAAAAGCTTCTGGCCAATTGAAGAGCCGGAAGCTCAGTAGTTTCAGCAGGACCACTGGTAGCTGTGGTCACTGCTGGGACTGCACCAGGAAGATGAAGACGTGTAGGAGCAGGCTGACCTCCCAAACAAGAAGTGGATTCGTGGGGCATCAAGCATAGGCAGGTTGGCCTGACAAAGGGTAAGAGGTTGCTGAACGACAGCCATTGCCACCATACAATCCCTCTGTGGGCCTCAAGATGCTCAAATGGAAGTCCACACTCCAATATCAGAGGGAGGCTACCAGAGTTCACCAAGGAAGGCCATTTACCATAAGCAAAATGTCAATGGTGATGGGAACAGGTCCTTAACTGATCATTTAAGTTGTTTAATTGATCTCTGGACAGGAGAGCTCTTTCTCATGGCAGGAAGATGAAAGACACTGTAATCACTGCCTTCCCTCATAATTTTACTAGCTCACTTCTATTTCAGTCTCTGTAGAAAAGAACATTTCTACATTCCACTGAAAGAACCAACACAAGATTTGTGGTCCCCAACTCTCTGCGGAATTCAATTCCCTTAATTTAAGTGTTTCAAACAATCTCACAATTTCTAGCAATATTACAAATACCAGTGTGCAACTGACTCATAATATACTGAACTAAACTCTTCTGTACTGCAACAGAAGCACAACTGACCTTTCAGATTAGTAGAAATATAAAGTGCACATTCCTATATACCTGAAAAGGCAATATTTGTGGGGCCACGGAAGGAGGAAATGCATGGGATTGAGTTTCTTTCAAACAGCTGGCGCAGACACAGTGGGCCAAATGGCCTCGCTCTGTGCTGTATTATGCTATCACTCCCCAGCCTGGAGTTCCTGTTTCACTGCACTTGGACATTTTTGACTTAGTCAGCATCACCGCTGCAAAATATGCCAAATTTAATATGCAAGTTGTATACAAGTGCAAATCAAATTTTCATCAACTTCTGTGCTTGTGTTATAGACATCATTCTCAAAGCAGGTGCTGCTTACAAAGCCAGCCATGCCCCTCCAGTGAATTAATCACTATTGGGAGTTCCCACAATTAAGCTTGTCTATAGATCTTTGACGTTTGGACCGTGTTTTTTTTTTCATTTCAGAACTTACTGAAAAATTGATGACATTACATCTCACATGTTGAGAAAATAATTTTGTACATCTTTTAAACAGTCATTTTCAGTCAGTTTAGGTTGGCTTGCAAGTGATGGGTTGACACTGCTTTATAATTATTTTTCATGACAAATCCATTTTCAGTAGAATTACCCGAATTGCTGCAAGTTCTCAATCATAAAAATGTAAAGGAAATTATTTAAAAACTTTAGAACCCTTCCCAATTGCAATGCTTTATTCTGGTTCTGTTGTTGCAATATGTAAATTAGTTTACCAGAAAGTTAGAAGAACACATATTGTGAAATGAGCACAATTTTTGTAGTAGTTTGCAGTGGAATACCTGATTTTGCTTTAAATGGCAACACTACCCCTACATATTTACCAGAATAAGCAAGGCGAGAAAAACCTTCTTCCCAGAGCGAGTAGTTAGGGTCTGGAGCGCACTGCCTGGAATTGTGGTGGAAGCAGGGTTGATTGAGGCAATCAAGAAGGTATTAGATGGTTATTTAAATGGGAATAATAATGCAAGGGGCACAGGGAAAAGGCAGGAGATTGGAAATAAGTCAGAATGCTCAGCGAGCTAGTGCAGGCATGATGGGCCAAATGACCTCCTTTGCACTATAACAATTGTAGATTCTGTGATTCTATAACCAAAACAGTAAATGCTGGAAATAGTTGGCAGGTTTAGTGGAAGCTGTGGAAAGAGAAACAGAGTCAATCTTCCACCTGCATGACCTTTCATATAACTATATAACTATGTTCTATTACTGAGTAGTAATCTATGTTGATTGGGCTCTTATTCTGTCATTATCTTAACAGGCCACCTATGTGCTTTTGATGCTGGCTTGGATATTTGTCCCTGTCTACATATCATCTGGAGTAAGTACATCTGATGTGTTTTGCAAATAACTTCATTCCAGAAGTTCAGCAAATGCCTAGCTTTGTTTATGCTAATATGCCTTTTCTTTCCCCAAATTATTTATCACAGATAGTGACCATGCCTGAATACCTTCAAAAGAGATTTGGAGGGGAAAGGATTCGAATGTATTTATCTGCACTTTCCCTGCTGTTGTCTGTATTCACCAAGATATCTGTAAGTAAAGATTGTTTCTCTTCCTGTGTTTCTGTTATTTAAAAATGGTCACAGAATCTTTCACATCTCCTGAGAGCACAGCTGGTGCCTCAGTCTAACACTGTATTCAAATGACGGCTCTTTTGATAATGCGGCACATGATCAATGCTGCAAATTATAGACTTGACTGTTTGTCTTGGAGTTGACAGCAGCATTTTTAAGGCACAGCAAGGTCTGTATCAGGTGTATGAAACCAATTCATGATGAATCAGCTGATTTTTTTTTAACCATGACCAATTTTTCTTCCCACTGAAGTTCATGGAATAGTCATTCAATCCCAATTTGAGATTCATTTCCCAGACTTGCTGCCACTTTCAAGTCACATTAGGCCTGCGCAAATGCCATGCAATGACCACCTCTCACATAAAAAGAACCTAACCATCTCTCCTTGATATTCAATGCCATTGCCACCAGTGAAACCCCTGTTATTAACATGAAAGGGTCACCATTTAGAAGAAACAAAACTGGGCCAGCCGTATAAATACTGTGGCTACAAAGGCTAGTCAGAGATTGGGAATGATGCACCAGGTAACTCGCACCCTGGCTGCCCAAACCCCGTCTAACCATCTACAAAGCACAAGTTAGGATTTTGGTGGAATAGTTCCCACTTGCCTGGATGAGTGCAGCTCCAAGAACGGGATGGCAAATGAGTACTTGCTGTTGAGCTCACCTTGTGAGTCACCAAATCTTTAAATCTTAAATGGGAAGCCCCTTATTTTGAAACCCATAATCCTAAGCTCCCTGGCAAGGGGAAACATCCTCACAGCTCATGAGAAATTCATCCCCACCTCAATCTTCATCACATGCATGTTTCTTCTTAAGAACCACTGTTGCGCCATTCTGTGTTGACCTAGAAAAAGCTGGAGAGCACATTCCTTTAGTTTTAATACATTTGGGTTTTGACAGACATGTCATTTCTTTCACCTGGCTGTTTTGACCTGTACTTTCATTCCCGAATTTGACAGAAGTACCACACCCTGTGGCGAGAGAATGCAATGGGGGTGGTAAAGGGAAAGGTGAGTAGACAGACACACCTTCTGCAAATTATATTACACTTAAATCACTTTCTGTTGATCTCGTTTGTCACGACACACCCAGACATATTACAGCTAGTCTTGAGCCAGAATAAGGCTGTCTGCATTAACCTTATGTTTCTACAGTGTTTGTTGTCAATTAGAAGTAATTAATTTTAACACAAATATCTCTTGAGTTGTTGAAGATTGCTGTTAGATCTTTAACCAGGTGATATTAAACATTTGGAGAGAAGCTTTCCTTGCTTCCAATCCTACTGCTAAACACCAGTGCCTTCTGAACAGGACAGCCATGTATGTGAACACTGCCACTGACATTAGTGCCAGTGCCATTGCGTGTTCAGCAATAGAATACCGATTGAGAGTGGCTCAGGGTAGCTTGTCTTACAGTTTTCCCACAGTAATTGGCCTGAATACAAAGGTGGCCAACAAAATGGCCATCTGTACATTCACAAACTGGCCAGGCATAGTCAGTTACAGGCAAATGATGTGCCCTGAGCCAGAATGCACACGTGCTCTCCATCACACAAACATGCACAGGCACACAGGTAAATGGCCGTATTTCTAGTGCTGTGTATAATGAGGCCACTATAGAGGTTCACTATTTGTGAACTATATCCAGTTAGCAACAAAGCACTGTCCACTGGATTTAAGAAATAAGCAAAGCAACTTGGAAGCAGTCAAAACAAGCTGTAATAAAATGTAGTCACAGGTTGAATGGTTGCACTCCTGGGATTATAAATGCATTGCTGCCATTGTTACTCCTGTCCCTTTTACAGTCTGGAGTTATCTCTTTCCTGGATGTCGGCTCAGGTGTCAGTTCCAAACAGCACTAACTGGCATTGAGATTATATGCCTGATATTCTCTTCGTTCCTAGCAATTGGCATTCCATTACTTTGCAGTGATGTAGCACAGCGAATTTATAGAATGCAGGGCACGTTTGAGAGCGTAATCTCAGGTTAAAGGGTTGACCATTTACAACAGAGATGAGGAGGATTTGTTTTCTCTAAGGGTAGTGAAGCTGTGGGATTCGTCACCGCAGAGGGCTGTCAAGGCTGTGTTGTTAAATGTGCTCACGGTTGAGATTATTAATCTTAGGGGAATCAAGGATTATGGGATAAGGCAGGAAAGAGGATTATCATATCATGATCTCATTAAATGGCAGAGCAGGCTCGATGGTCCAAACAGCCCAGCTTTATGATCTCATGTAGGAACCTTGGATACTTGGAAATTTGGCAGCTAGCACACTTCAGGAGGAACATTAACCCCACCCCACCCCCCACCCCCATCCCACCTCCCCAGTGTTGAATCAGAATGTGCAGGAAGCAGGTATTTGGTCAATCGTGCCTGTGCTGGCTGTTTTGAAAGAGTTATCCAAGTATTCCCACTCTGAAAATTGTCAAGTGTGCATTCTATTCTCTTTTGAAAGTAATGATTGAATCTGCTTCCAGCAGCCTTTCAGGCTTTACGTTCTAGATCATGGCAATGCATTGTGTGTAAAAGCGGTTCTCCTAATCTTGACCCAGGCTCTTTTCTCACATTGCGCCCAATGAACATGAGTGACTGCGAGTGAGGTTAGCTGAGATTTAGTTCCAGCTTTCACTCTCTCGAAAATATGCTGCGTTTATTTTGTGCAACCAACTGTATAATTGACCACAATCTTTGCACCATAACATGTGGAGTTTGTGAGGAGATAGTAGGAACTGCAGATGCTGGAGAATCTGAGATAACAAGCTGTAGAGCTGGATGAACACAGCAGGCCAAGCAGCATCAGAGGAGCAGGAAGGCTGATGTTTCGGGCA